CCCCCCCCCCCCCCCCAAACAGAAAATCTGTACAGTTCGTCACTAGGAGTACACTAGAGATTGTTATACCGCCACATGCAGCATCCGAACTCGTAAAAAAATCAAGAAAGCTGGCTTTGATTAGTGAGGTGAATGCTCTACATCACCGACACTTCATATTTCACATTTGAGTTCATCATATGTACACCTTCTTGACCTATTTATTACTACTATTATTACTCGTGCAAACAGCTATCGGGAGCCAATGTGAAACTGATTGATGATAGACCAGAGTCCACAGAGAAGATAATACAAATATCGGGTACTCCAGAACAAGCCGAGAGAGCTCAGAGTTTGCTTCAAGGCTTTATTTTGAGCAGTAAGTCTCTCTCTCTCTAGAAAGAAAAGTTGTACAGTACATCTCTGCATACAAAGCTCTCATTTTCTAACATATTGTTTTATATTACTGTGATTTTGTTCAGCTGAAGAAGATGGTCCGTAAGTGTCGTGACGTTGTCGACAATTGTCGTTGGTAAAATTGTTTGAATTTTCCGGATAGCACGCCTTAAAGGTTTATCGTATTGCTTCGTTGTTGCGGCTGGGGTAGGGGTAATCCTCTACATTTTCACTAGCAATTCCCAGTAGAATTGTACAAAAAATGTACTACTAGCAAAATGTTTTCGACTTGACGGTTACTTGTATTAATCTATGTATCGATTTCGTGTATGCCTTTGTTGGCTTGTATCTTCGTTTCCATTAGTTATAATTCGATTTATCATTCAATAAAATTAGCATATATCATATTGTTAACCTAAAATACTAAATGTGAGGATATGATTAGCATTAAATTTAATATAATATTTTAACAATTTAAGTAATAGTTCTAATTCAAAGAACTAACATACTAATTAATTACCCAATTTAATAATAATATTTATCAAATCCAGTAATTAATTCGAACGAGACCTTCAAAAGCTTTTTATTTTCGGCCCAAAATCACCAAATCGGGCTTGACCCAATCATTCTCGAAAGCCCGTAACAGAGCCCAATTGCTATTTTTTCTTATAATTTTCCTGCAATGGATTGCCAATTTCTCCCACTGTGCTTCACTGTCAGAAGATTTCAATGGCGTCCGCCTTCTCGTCGTCAACCTCTGCCGCCTCTCTCAGGTATATTTCGCAGCTTTATATACGTACAGTATACATACATGGTTGTTCTGAAGCTTTTTACCTCATTATATATATTTTTTTTAAGATAAGTCAATTTCCGCTACTCGTTTTTGTTGCTCTGAATGTCGGTCATAAATTCGTTCGGAGTTCTTCTTTTTGTTGCAGCTCCACTTGAAAAATTGCTGGAGAAAATTCGAATTTATTGCTTTACTGGTGTTGTACAATGATAATGTGTAAAATACAAACCCTGATTTCGTAAAGCAGAGCAAACATGAACCAGTGTATTTATATTTATTATGATGTTTTATTTAGTACTGTAGAATTCATTTTTTTTTACTTATGTGTTCTTTTCCAGGATGAATCCAATGTGTCTAGAAACTCAATTCGACTACCTGAAATTGCAAAAAATGTTCATGTTTTCCAGTTCCCAAATGATTGTTCGGTTTCCGAAATGTAATCTTAAGCTTTACATGGTTCCGTGTAATCAAATATATGGGCGTAGTTGTATGAGAAGTTCTGCCGTGGGTAGTTCATCAGAGATCAGAGGCAAACACGATGAAGGCCGTGCGACTTCAAGTGTTTTCGGTCCAAACAATTTCCGAAGGTACAATTTCATTTAGTTAAATGTTCATGGTAGTTGTTTGTGACTGTGGTAGATAATAATGAGTTATGGTAAGTTTCCCGAACTTGAACTTTTTGCATTTTTCCATATACTTGGACCTATATCACCAAAATCGGTTATGTATCCCACCATATAATTATTGTCCCTTAAAATGAAATGTTAGCTTTCTGGAAATTACTAACACTCGTTCGTATTGAAATAACCAAGTAAGAATTGCCTAGCTTCAAATAAGAAAGTACACAAGTTTTTGGAGTTTTTCAGCAAAGAAGTCAAATGTTACTATGTTAGGGTGTTGTAATTTTCTTAGATTTTTATTGCTTTGGCAATAGGTCCAAAATGGTTTACGATTCCTATATGACTTACTTGGCAGCTCGAACAATGATCTTGAAGAACAGCTTGAGGAACTATTTAACGAGGTTAAGACTATGATTAAATTGGGAAAGGATGACGATGCTGTGGATTTACTTCAAGCAAATTACGAAGCTGTTAAAGAACAGGTGGATTCAGGGGCTCAAGGCATAGAAGAAGCTGCTGTTCTTGATGTAATAGCCTTGGGCTACATGGCCCTTGGAGACTTGAAAACTGTTGGGTTCTTAATGGATGTGGTAATTTAGTTTGCAAATTATTTAGGTACACTATTTCTGCATTTTTGTGTGCAATACGCTCGTTTTGTTTTACAGAGAGAGGACTATTGCTCTCCATCATTGATCATCCAACATGGTTAATGGTTTCGACTAAACGAGATGGATATATAACCTAATTTTTTCGCTATTAGATAAATGATTATTTCGATTTCCTTCCATTCTATGTTTGAAATCTTTCGAGGGGCATGTACTGTCTATTTTGATTACATATGTTCTGAGAACTTATCATGTTGACCTGAGGCTCTCTTGAACCTGATTACAGTTGAACAAGATTGTGAACGAGCTGAAAGACGAGGAGCTGCTACTTGATTCAATACTCATGCATATGGGAAGTATGTATTCCAAGTTGGAAAATGTTGAGTTGTCCATTTGTTTCTACAGAAGGTCCGTGCAAATTATGGAAAAAAAATATGGTACGTTGAACTTTGAAATTTTGGATGCTGTCAGTGCCCATTATGGATGTCGTCCAATTTCCCGTTTCTTAGATACAAATGCTAGATATTTCTGCTGTTAGAAGGTGCTAATTAAGCTGCTAACTGGCATTATTCTGTAAAACCTTCGTAGTCGATTTGCTGAAACTTGCCTATATATGAAAGTTTCTTTTTGTTTCTGTAGGAACTAGGAGCTCACTCCTTTGCACACCATTGATGGGAATGGCGAAAGTTCAGGGCACTTGTAGAAAATCCCGTGAGGCAATAAAAACATACCAGCGAGTTGTTGAAATATTAGAATCTAGCAGGGGAGGGGAGACCGAGGATATGATAGCGCCGTTATGTTCATTGGGCAATCTTCTGATAAAGGAGGGACGGAATTCGGATGCCGAATACACATTCAATAGGTCAGTTAGTTGCATCACGCGTACACAATTTGTTACATTTGAAAGCCTCTTTTCATTCAGATGATTAACTATTTTTCTGACTTTTAATTTTCATTAGGGTCCTAAATATTTATACGAGGTCATATGGGGAAAGAGACGGAAGAGTCGGAATGGCTATGTATTCTCTGGCCCAGGTGAAATGTGCTAAAGGTAATTAGTGACACTATTTATTTCATATAAAATTGCACTAAACTCAGGCTCTTTTGAACTAATCCACTTAACTGCTCATCCAGAAGAGTTATTCTTTGCTTTGAAATATTTATTTGTAACTTGAAAGCTCGGATTTCGGTTATGACAATCACCTTTGTTGACATTCCTTTATATACTTTCCTTATTTCTGCAGGTCAAGTCAATGAAGCCATTGATCTATACAAGAGTGCTATCCAGATCCTAAAAGATTCGAAACACATGGAATTGGATGACGGAATCTTGGAGAAGATGAGAATAGACTTGGCGGAATTACTTCACGTCGTTGGAAGGTAAGAAATGTCTTTGATTAGTGCGAATTTTACATTTTTCTTTTATAATTCTTTTTTGTTGGAACAGAATTTTTTTCAGATTCTAATAACAGTTGAATCGCCTTAATTTCTGTATAAATTGAGCAACTAAATATTTTACACCGTCAATACTAAAAGTATCTTTTTCCTAAAATAAAATATGAATATTATTTAACGTCACAGTCATAAGGCTCTATTGTGTTCATGCGAGTCTTACAATCTTGGTTGTTTTCAGAGGAGAAGAAGGCCGAGCCCTGCTGGAAGAATGCTTCTTAATATCCGAGAAGCTCAAAGGAAAAGAAAACCCCAGCTCAGTTCCCCACCTTGTAAATCTTGCAACCTCGTATTCACGCTCCAAGAATTTTGCTGAAGCTGAGCGCTTGCTGAGAATAAGTTTGCAAATAATGATGAAAACTGTTCCCCCCGATGACCCATCTATCACATTTCCCATGTTAAATTTAGCAGTTACTCTCTACAATCTACACCGGGATGAAGAAGCAGAAAGACTTGCTCTCGATGCTTTATCCATCCGAGAAAAAGCATTTGGAAAGGAATCTTTACCAGTTGGTAAGCCCTATATGGACTTCTGCAGAGTGAATCGAATATTGCCGATTATTGGAATTGTTTTTTGATTTGTTTTGGGGTTTAATAAACTGAATTTGCAGGAGAGGCTCTTGATTGTTTGGTGTCGATTCAGACGCGTCTAGAGAAGGATGACACTGAGTTGTTGGAGCTGTTAAAGAGGGTTTTGAAAATTCAGGAAAAAACATTCGGCCATGATAGCGAAGAGGTTATGGAAACACTGAAGAAAACAGTGCACTACCTCGACAAAATGGGGATGAAAAATGAAAAATATCCTCTGCAGAAGAAATTGTCCATACTTAGAAACAAACACAAACAGATGGCCAAGTATTAGCAGCTGTCTTTGCTAAGTTGCACAATCTATTCAGGCTTGGAGTTCAACTTTTCTGCTAGTCTTTTCGGACTAGTCATTAGTTTGGTTGGGCAATTTTCGGGCGGCCCGTAACAAGATGGTGCTTGAGCCATGCTGGTAAACAAACATAGAAACTTTTTGACCTCGTGTATTTGAATGTACAGAAACTATATTTGTCGACTGTTTGAACTAAACGAATTTTCCCAATGAATCATACATCTTATGTTTGTCCATGATGTGCAATTCACGTGTATACATGCGATGCATTCACGCTGTCTGAAACTCGATGGAAAATTCGTGATCTTAGTCCTTCAGAGTTTCGATATGTGGTCATTTGCCGATGAATAAATGGGATGCATCTTTATTTATGTTATATGTTTTATTTAACTAATCTTGGAGAAATACATATTGACACAGATGACTGTGCTTGAGGCTTATGATGGGGGGAAGAAGAAGAAGATTGTTCCTCCCGGACATGGTTATGAGTTTGTTTTTCTGACTAAGGTAATTGATTAATATTTTATTAATATATATTAATATTATTTTTTTTTTCTTTTTTTTCTTTCTTGGAACTTTTCAGTAGTTTGTGATGTCTGAAGGCTAAAATTTTTAAATCCGACTTATTCAAGAAATGTTTTTAAAACAAAGAATCAAAAATTAATATATATATATATATATATATATATATATATATATATATATATATATATATATATATATATATATATATATGTACTTTTTGTCAGTCCAATCAGATAGATAAAGATTAGGACGACGAGTCAGCCCCCTTCATTGAATATCTTCTATTTTAATTTTTTTGATCATCTTGCAGCAGCATCAAATATGAAATGCCTAAACTTTTTATAAGAAATTCTACAATCCTGTCGCGTGTAGACCGCACGTGCATAAAAGTATCAAACATACCATTCCTATTTTCTACGTTTTTGTTATTGTGCACATATTAAGAAAATCAATAAATGAGTATAGTAATAAAAAAATAGAGGAAATTATTAAAATATTTTTGTGATTAACTGTTTTTTTGTCAATTAACTAAGAGTGATAAATGATAAAATTAAAAATAATATAATTAATACTTCATTGGAATTATAAAGTGGACAAATAATTTTGGAAAAAAAAAAACTCGTTTTAAATATTTTCCTTACCTCTTCAGTATGGAATTAAATGAAATAATAAATAATTATTTTGATTTGAGATTAGAAAATAAAACAAATTGAGTTTCTAGAGTGCCTCACCGCCGATGGCCGTACTTTCCCGGCCTCTTTCCTGTTAAGTTGTAAGACTATGACGTTTGACTTAACTAAAGCTACCCAAAGCCGACCATCCTACCGCAGACCACCACCAACCACTCTTTATCTGCCACGTACTCACCCCCTCCCCATATTATTTAAATATTATCTTATTTAACTTAAAATGTTAATTTTTTTTTTACGATATTAATTATTTGGCAATAATTATATAGCCCAACAATTTTACTCTAAAATAAAAAAAAAAAAAAAAAATTACAGCACAGGTGTGTGGTATATAATTAGCAATGAATGAATTCCCTCATTCTCAAATATTTGCATTCTGGAACCTTTCAAATTACCTTGTCGGAATAACACCACCTGTAAAAGTCGTATCTCTCTCTCTCTCTCTCTAGAATCCCAAAATCCCAACCCACAGAGCTACGAACGACAAAAGAAAAAAAAAAAAAAAAAAAAAAGAATGCCGTTGTGTAACGTGGGCGCTTACCAGAAGGAAGATGGGGATGCATCAATTAGCAGCAATGGAATCAAGATTTTTTACAGAACCTACGGCAGAGGACCGGTCAAAGTTCTTATGATCATCGGTACAGCGCATTTTCCTCTTTTCGGCTTTTAATCTGTTTTGAATAGATTTTTTTTTTATTAATTAAAATCGGCTGTGATGAATAATCTTCAGGATTGGCTGGGACCCATGATTCTTGGGAGCCACAGATAAAGGGTCTTGTCGGAACGGTGACTCCAAACGACGATGAGTTGCCTTCCGATGATCGGAGCGGCGAAAGGGTCGCCGGCGGCGTGGAGGTTTGTGCTTTTGATAACCGTGGAATGGGTCAGAGCTCCGTTCCCACCAAAAAGTCAGAATACACGTGAGTTATTTACCTCCCATTTTTTTCATTATTTCATTATTTATTTTATTTATTTTTTGGTAGGAGATTTCTTCTTTGTCTACTGTAATTTCGGTACTGTTCTAGTCAAATTAATTAAAAAATATATATATTCTTATTTAAATAAATAGCTAAATGTGTGTTGAATGGTGGAACACATTGCTATGTATTGGAAAATTTGGAAGTGAATTCGCCTTTTGTATTGTTTATATGAATATTTAGTGTTTTGGTGGAATGGTGTCGAAACTTGTGGGGATGAATGCTTTTGAGGCCACAATTTGTGTGGGGTCTAAAATGGAAACCCCGCACCAGAATCGTGTTCAGTTTGGTGATGTTTGACAAATTCAAGATGATTTTTTTTTTTTTAATATTTTTCGGTCCGTAATCGGTGTAATTAATTAATGTTGAGTCGACCCCTTTCCAGGACAAAAATCATGGCAAAAGACGCGATAGCTCTAATGGATCATTTGGGGTGGAGAAAAGCTCATGTCTTTGGCCATTCGATGGGTGAGTCGTTGACTTTGCAAAATTAGCTTTACTGTACCACAAGTTGGTTTCGTTTTCGGGATAACCTTATCGTTGTTTCTCACAATGTAGGTGCTATGGTTGCTTGTAAACTTGCTGCAATGGTACCTGAAAGAATTTTGTCTTTGGCTTTGTTGAATGTAACCGGTGGGGGATACGAATGCATTCCAAAGGTATGATTTTCATTTATTTTTAAGGTGTGATTTTATTGTTGGATCGTATGAAGGTGTGACTGATTAATTATTGTTCGTATTCGTTTCAGTTTGACCGTAAAACTTTGTCGATTGCAATGCGTTTTATGAGGGCGAAAACTCCCGAGCAGAGAGCAGCTGTTGATTTAGATACACATTACTCTCAGGTTAGAATTGTTCTAACATTGTGTTATATTCGTCGTTTGAGATGGCTAAGAATCGATTTTAATTTGTTTTTTTCCATTCGATGCAGGAATATCTTGAAGAGTACGTCGGACAAAAGACCAGAAGATCAATCTTATACCAAGTAACGAATTGTACCTTAAGCATTACACTTTTCTTTACAAAGTTTGACCGAAAAATTCAACATATTGACTTAAAATCCGGCAGGAATATGTGAAAGGAATATCAGCAACCGGTATGCAATCAAATTACGGGTTTGACGGTCAAGTTAATGCGTGCTGGACCCATAAAATTTCACGAACAGAAATAGAGTCTATTCGTGTGGTTGGATTTCCTATATCAGTAATTCATGGCAGGTACTTATACTACCATACAAGACGAGCTCGAGTTTTCTTTGACAGTACGGATATTGTTTATTTAGAGACTGATCGAATTTTTTATTGTGTAGGCATGATGTTATTGCTCAGATGTGTCATGCAAAACGACTTGCAGAGAAATTATATCCATCTGCAAGAATGGTTGAACTTAACGGTGGACATCTCGTTAGCCATGAGAGAACTGAAGAGGTACGTACGTACGTACACTTCTCTTTGTTCGACTTTTCTTGTAAATAATTAAAATCGACCAATTTAAAGGACTGTAAATAGGAATCACGAAAAAAAAAAAGGAAGTCGGAAATCCAAATCGATCGAGTTGGAATTAACTACCATATCTTTAATCAGCAGAACAGCAAGATCTGAATGTTCTCGTGTTACAGTTTATTCAGACAGGGATACAAAATACAGATGCATTATCAATACGCAAGAAGATGGTGGTGGTGGTTGTTTTTTTAAGACCGAATTGGTTGTTTACATTGAAACGGGATGTTATTCTTCTAAAAATAATAAAAAATAAAAAATAAAAAAATAAAAAAAACGAGATACTATTATAATACATGAAAATTAAACAAATTGAGAACTGCATTACTCATGAAGATGCACCAAACATTATTACTAAGAACTTGCAAGTAATATTGAGACCATACGGCAAATATATTTGAAGTGATTAAGCAATCAAGTACGAGTATAATGTAACAGAAAAGAGTGATACTACTTCCAACTCGGGTACTCACGTTCGAATCCTCCATCAAAATTTTCAGGTGAATAAATCTCTTGTTGAGTTGATAAAGGCATCGGAAAGTACGACAAGTCTAAACGAGTGGACGAATTTGTCAAATAAAAGTAGCGGTGAGTGCTACTTATACATGACTGCTTCATCTTTGTGTATTACTGGTTTAAACGTCCTAGAGACAACCAAGACTATATGACCGTATACGGAGATGTATATACAGATAGTTGAATGTAACGCACGCACACACACACACACGCACATACACACACCTGTGACTAAGGCCCAAAAAATGATGTTGGTGTCTGGTCCAATTTTTTTTTTTTTTTCCGTATGTATATATACATACTTTATTTCTGAAATAAAATAGTCCTGAAATAATTCTCGAAATTAAATTCCGGTGTTTCTCCAGGGCAAAAAGTTAGTCTGATATCGTTATCAAGAGCAAGCAGTTCGTCTTTTATTGTCGAGAGTGTAGAGAAGCTACATATATTCCTAGTGTACTTTTTTGGACTCTTTGTATTGGCATTTGAGTACATACGAAGAGGTGTAAGGCGGCTTAAACCGGTCAGAGTAGGTTCTGCCCTCACATAAAGCAGGTAATCGATCTACGTTATTTTTTTAGTGTTGCAATAACCTTAATCTGCTCACAGTGTAATAATCTCATTTATTTCATGTTGTGCAGGAGTTTGTTTCTTTGCTTTTGCTTATCGTGGGCGTAAATCTTCGACCGAAAAACGAGATACAGCTTAGAATACGTTAATTTAAAACAACGAGATTATGATTATAGAAAGAAATTTGACGACACTTGGTTTTTTTGCTGGTATAATATGATACAGCAGGTTTTTTTTTTTTGTATAAACTAAACACACACACACATACGTGTGTGTGTGTGTGTGTGTGTGTGTGTGTGTGTGTGTGTTTGTGTATTCATGAGAAAATAGTTAAAATATGAACATGAGTTATGTTGTTTATCACCACTAAACATGCAAAAGAAATGCTACTTGCCTTGGAGTTAGTCTTTCATGTTTTTAGCCTCTTGGGAAATACTCTCTTGCCTGCAAAGCCGCTGCGATGGGCAGCGCCGCCAGCGAGGCTGCTGTTGATGTGTGTGTGTGTGTGTGTGTGTGTGTGTGTGTGTGTGTGTGTGTGTGTGTGTGTGTGTGTGTGTGTGTGTGTGAGAGAGAGAGAGAGAGAGAGAGAGAGAGAGAGAGAGAGAGAGAGGATTATGTGTAGACAAATGGAGAAGCTAATGTTTTTAGGGGTGAATAATGGTAATATACATGGAAGATGGGCCAATGGTGTAATATACCACAAGAATATTCTAATATGCTTGCGTTGCCCATAGAGAATTTCAATCAAACAAACTAGCCCGTTGAATTCCTAATTTAACTAAAATATAGTACTTTAGGATAAGGATTAACTATGCACGCAAGATGAGTACTTACAACGGACTCTTAAAAAGAAGTAGAAATAACTCAAATCTATAGTCTTCTTCTCTGCAAATAACTCTGGTTTTTCTCTTATAAAATCCCTTGTAATAAGTGACAACGTGAACGGGTCTTCATAGACTTTAGAATGCGTCCACTACCTGCATAAGTTAAGGGAGAAAATAAACATTAAGATAATGAATTAGTAGATTAGTGAGATAGAATAAACAATCATCCAACTAATAATCTTTTATTAATAAATGTCTAAGTATAATTGGGTTTTCTTAAATTTAAATCGCAGATTTATTTATTTATATCCAAATAAATAAATAAAAAGAGGGGGAAATATCAAAATTAGGGAAAAGAAAAGATAAAGTAGAACCCGGTTCAGTGTTTGCCCTAAAATTTGTACCTCCTCCAGTTTTCGCTGTGCAGTTTCAAATTGGCACTTTGTGAAGATGGATGCTTCAGCTGCTGACGTCACACCTCAAGCTCCGACCAAATGGGATTTCAGTTGGTATTCTCTCTCTCTCTCTCTCTCTCTCTCTCTCTCTCTCTCTCTCTCTTTTATCTGAATATCTTTCCATGTGTTTCTTATGCGTTAACCTCTGCAAATTTACATATTATTTCAACATTTTGCTGTCGTATTTTCTTCGAATTTTCCATTTCTTTCTCCTTTTTTTTCGTAAATGTAAGGGCTTCAAAGATGTTGATTTATTATTGCTGATTGTTTTCGTGGTGAAAGATGAGATTTTTTCTTCTACTTTTATTCCAATTTGGAACTAGTTTCAGACAACTGATGTGATTGTGAAGATGAAAACTGAAAGGCCGTGAATCCTTCATCGATTTTGCCCTAATTTTTGGGGATTGTCTATGCATATTCGTTGTGGCCTCATCAATTGAACCGTTGTGTGAAAATTGGGAAGATATCTTTTAATTATGGAAGTATCTTGTTTACTGATTTCGAAAGTTGTTTGCAGCAACTTGGAAGTAGATTACGAGTCCGATGAAATTGCCCGTATTGTTTACGCTGCACTAGCTGTCGATAAGGAGGTAATTTCGCATCCTATAATTATATCATCGTATTCAGAGTTTTTCTGTTTTTCTCGATTGTTTCTTAAACTGTGTGATTCTTTGCAATAACAGTTACAACCAGATAAGGTAAAGAGGCAGATGAAAGTCGCTAATGGAAAGCTTTATGTGTGAGTATTCGACATTCCTTTCGGTCATAATACTAGGTTTTTCACTTCTTAATTTTGATCGATTGTCCGTCTTTTGACATTTTTTCGTTTATCGTGTTCACACATTGAATCAATCTTAGAGAAATCTAATTGCATCTGGTTCTTTGTTGAAGCATTTCATTTTCAGAACCTTTTCTCTCTGACAAATTCGGACCGATTTTTTTTTTCTCACTTTATGTACAGGCATTTTGAGGCAACCGAAGCAAGATTTCTGCGTGCATCGTATAGCTCGTTTGTTGATATTCTTACACTCGCCACCAAGACAGTCGAAGAATTTGGTCAAGGGATCATGTTGTGACATTCAAGATTTGCTATTTACAACAACCGTATAAGTATCAAAACCTTATACGGTTGTACTTTATTGTACTGCATACGATTTACTGCCGATTGAGTTTCTTGATTTTTCTCGACTATACATTTCAATTAGTACTTAGTATTAATGGTGTCATCGATTTTGTTGAAGTCTTGTTCGGGACAAAATGGGGTAAAACAGAGCAACAATTGGACTATATAAATAAAATGTTTCTGATAAATTACACTTTTTTGTAATAAGATATGGTGAAAAAACAGGATACAAAACCGAAATCCTGAATAGGAAAAATTAAACAAAATGTTCTCTCTTTCAACCTGATTTACCAAATCATTAATATTCATCCAAATAAGTATACAAAGTATCATCTTTCTTCGACTTTCGCCGACTGAGCAAAGCTTTGAGCAACCGTTTACTTTTGCTCGGGAATTGCTCGCCATCTTTTGGACTTTCTTTATCGAAACGAATACGCATTGAAGCCGATTTTTTCGGTTCGGAAATATACTGCCAAAAAACAAGCATTAGTTTTTTAAGCTAACAAGTGAAAAACTATCACAACATATTTTATATGAAATGATTTCTAGGGTTACCGTTGGTCTTCCGGAAGAAGGGTTTGGAGTGGTGGGCCTGCTCCGATTTGGTGTGCTTGGATTTGAGCTTTTTGGAGTTGTGGGCTTACTCGATAACGAGCCCGAACGTAAAAGTGGAAACCGATGTGGTGATGCTGTTCTCTTTTCTGATTTCATTAATACAACCATCATAATAATTAATTAATTATTGAGCTCATCCCAAAATAATATAGAAAAATTAGTTGTTAATGTAAAGGGCAAACCTAAATCTTTATTCGGTATCTTCTTAGAGAAGGAGAAGTTTCCGGATGGTTGGGCAAGTTTCGGAGAAGGAGATGGGCCGCCTCCTTTACTGCACAAATTAGTTAAGCTTACGATGAATTTTTATTATTGGGTAATTTCAAATATAAAATTTGAAAAGTGATGCATTGTATAAAACTTACGTTGTGATAGATGGCGGTGGTGTTTCTTGGATTGTAGCTCGAATAGCTGCAGGGTTATTACAATAGCTCGTGTAAGAACGACAATTGCAATAAAATCATTGTAAAATGAGATTGTAAGGAAAGAGGAATAATTACCATTCTTGAATTGATACCAATCCTCTCCGTCATCTAGGCTGCATCCTTGGTACTTCGATTTGGTGCGAATCGATCCATCCATAGTCTCTCCCACTAAACGAAAAAAAGGATAGAGTTAAAAAAAAGATTTTTTTATCTAAAAAAATTGATATTTTTAATCGTGAGAAGAATCGCATATTATATATATATATACCTGGCAAAATGTATCGTTTATGGTAATTGGGAGTGTTTATGACCAACGACTGCTGAGATAGACCTTCGCGGTCGATATACTCCTGGCATGTCCTCAGTCTCTAAATAATCACATTTAAAAAAATGAAAAAATTATTTACATTGCAATATAAAATAGTTATCTGCAAAAATGAAAAAAAAAAAAAAAAAAGAATACCTGCTCAATGCAAGAGACACGAAGCTCGGTTCCGGAAACTTGATCAACTTTTTCATCCAGCAAATCGTTGACCTTATACGTCACAGACCCCAAATGGTCAACTGTATTCACAAGTGCTTTAATCGCATAATCTTTCAACGTATTTACCACTCTGCAAATAAATAAATAAATAATTCAAGCACAAATCATTCACAGGTGAGAATTAATTGACCTCTTCAAGAAACTCACATATCCTTTTGGTCGTCGTTAATGTAAGTCATCTCGAAATATTCTGCAGCTGAGTACAGTTGCTTCCTAAGATTCTTTAAATCCTGAATATATATAAAATCAAATTATCATACCCAATCAGACATAATTGATTACATTATTACTAGGTTTATTATCTTGACACATCAATATCACTATGGCTAAGTGAACTTATAACTGTAGAAAAAAAGGACCACCCGAAAGTAGATTACAGTTTAAGGGACTTAAATGAAACAAAAAAAGGTACCTCCAAACTATCGGAGAAGAGCATACTTTGCTGCATAGAGACCTCGTCGTAATTGGCGGGCTCACGAGGGAAGGGCACTGAAGCAGGTGGAGTCATTGTCTCCATTAAAGGACTGTCACTAAATTAGTAGCTACAAAGTCGTTATCCTGCAACAACCATTCCCAATCATTAATGAAACCCTGTGGCTCTAATCTTGGAAATTATGTAATAATTGACAGGTTGGTTTTTTACATTTTTTAGGCCAAACAAACGGTTAGCAGCAGTAAGGAATGTAAACACAATGATGCAAACGAGGAAAAAAAAACCCGATAATGGAAATGGAAAATAGAATTGAAAATGAATCGGTTGATGCTTTTTCCTTGTTTACATGTGGAGATGTATGGAGTATGGACAGACGGAATCAAATCCCAATCTTGAAAAGCAGAAAGAAAAACCAAAGACAAAACAAACAGAGTGCAGTGGAAAGAGACAATAGACTATGCTTTTCTTTTTTCGCAATTACAAAATCCATAAATTAAGACAAACTTAACCGATACACTCCTATTGTTCATCGACATCTCGTATTAGATTCTGGAAATAACCGTTGATTCCTTAAAACCCACGAACAAGTTGCAATGTCTATCACAAGATTCCTTAAATTCGGAGCCGAAAAGGGAAAAAAACAAGAAAATCGAAGAAGATTTGGACTGCAATTCCATCATAATGTATAAGAATTACACTAACATTGACACATCACCTCAAAATAGTTAAATAAGCTGCAATTTATTTTCAAAACCCCTCAACTCCACTTTCAAAACTTATCAACATAACAGTAAAATCGAGATAAATAACACACACACACACACACAGAAGCTCAATTCCAAATGATTAAAGAACAGGGATTCAAGAACTCTACCTTCAAATTCGCAAAATTCTGAACTAATTTCTCAGTCTCCCAAGAAATTAATTTTAAAAAAGAAGAGAGAGAGAACCCCACCACACAGGCAAGAAGGTAGTGGTGAAAACGTTGTTCACACTAACGAGATGCAAAACTATAGACACCCAAGAATCACTTTCCCCATCCAATAGTTTGATCACACATACAGTATAGCTTCGAAGAAAGGCAAAACAAGACAATGCAAATTAGCCCCAATAAACATCAAAATCACTATAATGGTTCGGTACCAAGATTTTGATGAAGAAAACGACAAGCTTTTTTGGTGGGTTCCCTCTTCTTTCTCTCTTTTCTATCTTCTTTCTTTCTAGTTTGTTGGTGGGGGTATTGTGTAAAAAAAGTCGGCCAAAAAAAAATATATGAAGACGAAGAGGTCACACAGGCATTAAGACAAACACGTTGTGGGTGGTACTAAATATGAGAGAAATTGAAGCATTTGACGTTTGAGTTGGAACCCCTCTCTATTTTTTTTAATCAAGAATCAAGAATCAAGAATTGGGGCTTACTCTATTCTTTTAATTTTCTTAGACTATTCTCCTTAATTCTTCTAAATTCTAATCATTGCCCTGTTTCGTGGGTCACCACTAACCCGTGATATATTCTTGTTTTGTTTTAAAAAAAAAAACCTTTTCGCCATTAAAACAGGGGGGGAAAAAGGACCACTAATTGAGTGCTTATTTACCTATTTACTGCTCTTCATCTCTAGCTATTTATTTATTTATTTCATTTATTTTTTTATGCAGTTAATTTAATGTGTATATATGTAATTATATATGGAAATGAATTTTCATGTATTTTACAATTACGGCACTTTGTGTTTTAATGTCAACAGAAAAAAGGGTCATTTATTTTCAATTTATGAGCAAGTGATTTAAATTTTTATTTTATTTTTTTATGTCAAAAGAAATTGATTATTCATGTACTATTTAGTATTGACCCGAATTGACTTTTTACATCTTCATATTTGGCATATATGAGAAACAAGAGAGAAAGTTGGAAAAAAGGGCTTATTTTATTTGTTTGTGTTTGTTTGTTAGTGTGAGGTTTAAGAGATTAAGATCCATATAAAGTATCTTAGAGTGGTGATTAATGAATATGGTCAAAATTATTCAAAAAGTTTGGTGTGTGGAAAGTGGTTTGAAATTGAAATTATGAGGATTATGGACCCCACTAAGCAATTTTAGTACTTTAACTTTTTTAAGGAGGTGATTTTTTTTTTTTAATTGTGTGTGCAAAGGGATGTGATAAATGTCGTTCGAGCTTTAATAATACCGTTACGACTTCTAACGTGATTTTAATTATTTTTAATTCCAAATTTTGCAAAACCCGAAAAATAGAATTTGTAGTATTCTGAATTAGTTTTCTAATCCAACTTGAATCACCAAAATTGAATGTCAGGCGAGAAAGATATACATAGATCAATGGATAATGCCCACAACTTTGATGTATTGAGGTATCTAAAATTCAAAATGTGACTCATCCAATCTAGCGGATTTAAGTTGGATTAGAAAGTTAACCCAAAGGACTACAATTTTCGTGTTTCGAATTTTGCCAAAATCAAAATAGAAATATGTCAAAATCAGGTTCGAAGTCAAACGACATTAATAAAATTGAAACGACATTTAACATTTCAGTTGTGCAAATTAGAAGGATTCTCTGAAGTAAGGTCTAATTATAAAAATGACCTTCATTGTTTGTATAATTACGAGCATCACTCTGAGTATTCTAATCTAACAATTACTACATTATGTTAGAGTTCTTTGCAGTCCGGTGGTTTCAGAAAGTGCTCGTAATTATGCAAACAAAATGAGTTTTTTTCGTAAAGAGGCTTTACCTCAATGTCCTTATAATTTGCCCTAATTGTTTTATAGATGGGAACACGAAGGGTTTGAAATTATGATTTAGTAGGGTTTATGAGTTACTTTATTTCATTAATTTGAATTAGTGCCGTGAATGGCGGGTGGGTCCCACCTACAAATTAAAATAATAGTGGGAATTTTGATTGGATAATTTATATATCATGCTTCTTTAAAGTTGAAGGTAAACAGTTCACACATGAGAAGTCATAATAACATGACTTGACAGGCCAAACAACTAGAATTATTGTGTTCTCTTTTTTTTTTTTTTAATAAATAAGTAGTATTGTGTAATCTTTAAAATAAAATTCTTATTTTATACTATCGTGATGATTTTTGATATTGTCATTTTGTGTATTTTTTAATAATTTGAAACCTATCAATTAAAAAAAACAAATCTCCTGCCTACAAGCCAAAAAAATTACCTACGCAAAGTGGATGATTTATTTGGATCGACACGAGAGTCCAACTGTATTACATTGTCAAACCTTATAAAATTATTATTATTATTATTATTATTATTATTATTATTCAAGATTCGTCTAGTCTGATTGGGCTACTAATGATTCGGGTGTGAATCAAACTTAAGTAGTAGTAGTATTTAAATTTAACAATCTTTAATTTAGAAAGAAATTATGTGCTAATCATGAGATTGAACAAAACATCAGGCTGCAATGTCAACTTTACGCACTAATAATTAACTCAATCGAGTATTTAAAATTGGTATTTATAAAGTAATATTTTATATATAAATAACAATATGAAGTAGTCAAAATGTTTTGTCCATTATTCAAAATTGTAACAAGAAGGGCCCGTACAACATAACATGACTCAATTGGTTTAATGGATCCGGCCCGATAGACTATGAGTTCGAACCAAAGCTGGTTTTTGATGTTGCTGATAAATAGTAGGCCCGATATAATAATGGCTTAAAATCCGTTGGAGGCCCAAAATGTTTTGATTTATCTTATTCCTGTCATCACTTCCGAGAAAGTTAAGCTCGTCTTCTAAGACCATGTTTGGTTGGTAAGATAAAATTAGCTAATATAAGATTAAATAATCTATTGAAATCCAATTATTTTATTGGAGCTTGCAACGTCCAACAAAAAAAACTCATTAGAAGGCAAGATAAGCCATGATTATATAATTTTGGCGGATCGACCCAGCAATTTATTGGGATACCAAACATCAAATTAAGTCCAACTATTTAGTTAATCATGACTTATCTTGCCAACCAAACGGGACCTAAATAGATTATCTTACAAACTAAGATTGTATTTTGTTATCTTATGATTTCAATCTATATGTACAAGCCACGTGGATGTTTATCCACGTCATAAAGAGCTGGAAAAATGAGCTGCAAAATGTAAAAGATTGTTGCAGTAAACTACAAGAAAGTTTAGACTGTACCGCTTCTTCTAGTTGTGACACTTGTCCGTCTCACATTAGAAGCTTCGGATTCAGTGAAGCAAGCAGGACGAGCTGGTGGTTTGGAGGGTAAGAAATCATAAGGAATCTTCACAAGAGGTGTAAGAAACGAGAGAGATACATGAAAT